TCTGGTTTATAGTTGCTTGTTGATTTTGATTTTTACTTTGTATTAATTAGTCTTTTTCCTGGTCCCTTATTTAGGTTTTCTAAATTGCTGCTATGAGTGAGACCATCCGGTATTTTTCTTTTTCTTTCTGACTTATTTCGCTGACCATGAGCCCTTCCCGCTCCATCCATGTTGCTGCAAACTGCATGTGTTTATCTTTTTTGATTGCTGAGTAATATTCCATGGTGTATATGTACCACATCTTCTTGATCCAGTCATCTATTTTTGGGCATTTGGGCTGTTTCCAAAGCTTAGCTATTGTAAACAGTGCTGCTATAAACATAGGGGTGCAGGTGCCCTTTGGAATTAATGTTTCTGTGTCCTTTGGGTAAATACCTAGGAGTGCAATTGCTGGATCATATGGAAGCTCTATGTTTAGTAGGTCCAGAAATCTCCACACAGCTCTCCATAGTGGTTGGACCAGTTTGCACTCCCACCAGCAGTGCAGGAGAGTTCCTTTTTCAGAAGGAGAAAGACCTTATTGACATAAGGTAGGCACGTGAGCTGGGGCTATGTTGAAGGGAAGGGGAGATGAATTTCAGGATGTGAGGAACATGACCGCAGCAATGTGTGAGGACAGAGCTGACTCCACATAGATGAAGGAGCAGATGTATGGCAGAATTAAATTTTGCTGTTGCTACTGCCTCCCCACACCCCAAGTCTTCATATTACTTCTCTTGCTCCTTCTCGCTGTTCAGTCAATTGCCATAGAAATCAAAAGAACCAGAAATATCTTTTTTTTAAAGAAATATCTTAATGTCCAGCTTTGAAGTTTCAAAGTAGGTTATATAAATTGAGGCAGAGATAATATCCAGGTCAACACCCGGAATGTTCAAGTGTCAGTCTAAGAATGAAGGCCTTCTGGTGTGATCGTTGCTACAAATAACCAATCTGAGAACCATGTGTCTAGTGTAAAGTGGATGGTACGTGCCAGGTGCTGAAACTTTCCTGGGCGCCCCTTGGGAGGAAGCAAGTCCCTGTGAAGTTCTCTTTTCTCAAGGTCTTGGGGGAATTTCATCAGCCCTATGGGCTGTCTAGGCAGCTTCAGATTCCTGAAGTACTTCCTAGTCAGTGGGACTTGACAGCAGGAAGAGACTGGGAGGAAGCAAATGGGGATGCAGAGTTTTGAGGGTGTGTGGCGTTGGCAATTGGTGCCCAGCCAGGGTTGCAGGAGTCCCAGATGCCAGCAGGTATGGTGCTGACTGAGCACGATCGTTAGTAGGAACTTGGACATGAGAGCAGTTAGCAGCATGAGAGGCAAAAACTAGATGGTGCCCTCAGTCCTTCAGCAGAGGCCTGGATGAGGAGGGCGGGAGGTGGGGAAAGGCCTGAATTGGCTGAACTTAAATCTGAAATGACCGAGAAAAGTGAAGTAAGTCAGAGGAGAAAGACAAATATTGGATGATTTCATTTAAGAGGAATATAGAGAAACAGAACACAGGAATGGAACAACTAAATCAAAACAAGGCCTAGAAAAACAGATGCAAACAAAGCAAACCACGCCAAACTCTAGAAATTTACCGTGAACTGAGGCTACCAGAAGAGAGAGTCAGGGATATGAGAACAGAAGGGAGGGGGCTCAGTGGACTATACAAGAATATTATCACATGCAATTGTAACAGTGTGACCCTATTCTCTTAGAATATGTATAGTGTTATAAATCAACATTACCTCATTAAACATAAAAAAAGAAATGAGTGTGAGAAACTCATTAAAGTTTTCCAGATCTCCCTTTCAGCAAAATGTGTGGGTTGGAGAAGATGAATTTTAAGGGCCCGTTCAGCATTAATTGTCCACTTCTAGTCCCGGGGCATGCACAAGTCACAGCAGAAACTTTATTTAGAAATAACAAATACACCTACAGGATCTTTCTGTTCTCCTTCACATCTCCACCCAACTCAGTGATCAGCAGTCAAAAAAGGCTTGAACTTCCTCAGGGACAGTAGGCAAGCAGTTGTAATAACAGCAGTAGCAGTAGTGCTGACCTCCATACTGAAATGGGAAGGCAGGCCTTCCCAGTTTCTGCCGCTTTGGGTTGAGGGACAGGCTGGATTGGACACTTTTCCTTCACCCACATGGGTCCGATTGTAAAGAACCCAGACATCAGCCTGCAACCAACTGACGATGAGCAACCTTTGACCTCCAGCTCTGAGTTGATGCCTCCTATGGAACAAGAAAGGTGGGAGATAGAGAGGTTTTAGGAAATCTAGCGCCTCACCCCCCGCCCCCATTCCTGGAACCCTGAATGTGAGGGAACCTCTTGGGATCCTCTCAGAGATGTCTGGTTTTCCATCCTCTGAAACCATCCATGTTCAGTTTACCTCCAGTAACCTGAAGCCTTCCTTGATAGCAGTGAGTTGTGCCAGTGGGACAGGGAAGAGAAGGCGCGCTGGAACAGGTCCCAAAAGCCATACAGGTTGGGCAGCTGAGGCCGGATGGCTTTCCGGGAGCTGGAGGGTAAAAGAGAGGGGCAGTTAAGAGATAAAAGATAGTGGTCTGAGGTGCTTTTGTATATTGGCCCTCTGCATCTAAGTCAAGTAAGACAAACAAAGAAGACCTACAGGGGGTGATCACATTTCTCTTAATACCCACCTCTCCCCTCCCAAGGTACCTGGGGTCGCTTGTGTATGCAATAATTCAGATATTTCTTCTTTGCTGTTGCAAAAGGACGACCCACAGTAGTTGCTGTACGAGATGGTGAATATGCCGGGGAATGGAGAATGCTGGACAAACGTCACCGCCTGGTCCCCTTCAGCGACGCAGCCCTTAGTGGCCAGCACTGCTGTCTTGCCTCCTGTTGTGAGACAGGAGGGAGGGACGTGCATGGTGGGCCTAATACTTGGCCTGGGGAAAGTCAAACAGAATTGGCCTGGGCATAATCACCCTTCCTCCCACCCAACCTCACTTTACCTGTTCTGATCACCAGCACAGACTCCTGGCAGTAGATTTCATTGCCACAAGTATCAACTTTCTCTGTGGTCCAGTTAAACGGCTGCTCTGAATCACCTTCTATACTTACGTATACACCCTTGTGACAGTAGAAATTTTCCATATCTGGGGAGAAAATGAAATCAAGGTAAACACCTGCCCTTCTCTGTGGGCCCCAAATCACTTCTTTTCCACTGGAAATCCATCCTCTGTGACCCTGCTGTGCTCCCCACACCCCCCCATACATACAGTTTGAGAAGGTGGTCCCCAGGAGAAACAGGAACAGCAAACCCAGGATGGGACGGCTCCCCATAACTTCTTTTAGAGCGGTAGGAAAGAGCTGCTCAAATCTGTGCTTCAGTGGAGAAGAGGAAACTTGTGAACCACACAGAATGAGATTAAACCCAGGCTCTGCCCAGTCACTGACTTCAGGGCAGTAGATGGCCTAAGGCTGGGACAGTCTGTCATGAAACGTTTGTGAGCTGCAGCAAGTAAGGGAGGCTCTGGTGTCTGTTTCCACAGCCGAGTCCGCAGACCCGGCCACCTAGTGCTGCTGAAGGCCCAGGTGTCCCTCAGGCCCCAGGGGTCCGGCCCCTGGACTCGGGGGTCCTGCTTCAAGCCTGTGCATTCTTAGGGCCCGGGCAGCTCGGTCCCCAAGCCCAACGCCACCAGAACCCGGGATTCTGAGAACCCGGCCTTGTCGGAGGAGGGTTCCAGGAGCTGGGGTTCGGTCACCTTTTCCCATAGAGCGCGGGATTCCAGGGCGCCCAGCGCCTGCCCCCCCACCCCACCCCCCTCAGGCCCAGGAGTCCCGCACCCCCAGCCCGCTCTTCCCTCAGGATCCATAAATTTGGGTCCCCTGACGACGTTTCTCCCCTTAAGGGACCAGAACCTCCTCCAGGCTTCCAGACAACCCCCAAAACCCGGCTGTGCTGAAGGTGCCGCTGCCAACAGTGGGCAAAATGGTCTAAGTGGACATTTCTTAGCGCAAACGCAACGTCCTTCTGGCCCTACCTGCTCGCCCCGTGCCGTCGCGGAGGCACAGAGGGGGGGACAGCCGCACCCGCCCGCTTACTCGACGCCCCATTGGTCCCCCGGCAGCCTCTGGCGCGCTCATTGGGTGAGCCCGCGGGGGCGCCGTTGGCCGGAGAAGCGGCTTCCCGCCGCTCCCAGGGGCGCATGCGCAGAAGGCCCCGGGCAGGCCGCTTGGCCTGGGGGTTTGCAGGACTGGCCGTGCCAGGCGTGCAATGAATGCAGTGCTCGCAGGGACTGCTCAGGGGGTGGTGTGTCACCGTCTTCTCTCTTTGGGCTATGGAGTCGGCTTCTCCAGCCATGCTAGGAGGGCCAGCCCTCGGGCCTCACCCACCAGACTTCGCGCTCTCTCTGCCCAAATGGACCCGCATGTGCCCTCCCCGGCTCCTGCCCCACCACCCTGTGGTGGCCCTACCCTCTGGGGGTCAGTTTGGCTCTCTCACTATCTACCCCACCCACCCTGGAGGCCTCCTCCAGGCCGTGGCCCCAGCCCTCTCCATGTTGTTCTGCCAGGCGTGTAGAGGAAAGCCAGCTCTGTTGTTGTTTCTGGCTACTTGGAAGGTGTGATCAGGAGTAGTAGCTGTGATGGTACAAGCTACTGTCACATTGACCCTGCGTGTCTCTGTCAGTGTCGCGAACCAGATGTGACATTCAGATCTCTTGTTCATGGCTGTAAAACTTTCTGGATATGACTTGAAGTAAGGACGCCTTTTGTGTAATGTTTTTTTTTTTCCTCTGAATTCTCATTATAAATGAATATCTGTTAAATAGAGAAAATGCCACCATTAGAATGGCATTAGCCAAGTTCTTACTTTTACATACAAATATTTACTCAAATTGCTTTAAAAAACCCAGTGGAATAGCAATACAAATATTGAGAGGTATAATGTAGCTAAATTAAGAATATAATTGTTCTTTTAGAATCCCCCCAAAAGCTTTTAAAAACTAAATAATAATCTAAGACAAAAGAAGTGCAATGAGGTTCTGTTGTCCTAAGCAAAACACTAAGAGCAGATATGTGATTCAGGGAGGAGATGGGAAATAATTAGGTGTCAAATGTCCTTAAGTCCTGGGACTAGAGAATGGGTGGGTTAGGGTCATCAGGATGCAGTACCTCACAATAGCCAACTCCCAATTTTGCCCAGCAACCAAGCCAGGGGCAGTGCCCTCAGCCCCAAGAGAGGAGGCCTCTGTGAGTGGCAGTGAGCAGGTATGACTCGTGTGTTCAGGAAACTTCTGTCGAGTATGACTTGATGGGGTTCAGTTCTTTCACGTGGGATGTCGGATTTAAGGTGTTGAAACCCGCATCTGAAAATATATTACTAGTCTTCTAGGATAGTGAGTTAGTATCTGGAGTGAATTCTAGGATGGCTCTGGCATACTGGAGAAAAACAGTGTCCCAAGTTTGGGGACATGTGATGAGTCTGTCACATGCAGTCTCCTTACTGTATCCCCTGGGGAAGGCATTAAATACACGAAGGAACATCAGCAACATGGCGATGGTGGCTCATCTGTGAGGCAGAACATGCTGCTGGGATCCTGGAACAGCCAAATGGTGACACTGGGTGTGCAGAGGCCAAGTAGCCCCAATCACTGAAACAAAACACAGAGAAAAAGGTCATCAGAGCAGGCTGACAGGCGGGGGTCTGTGCTGAAGTTTAATGACAGGGGTGAGGGTGAAGTAGCGGGGAAGGTGTCCCTAAAAGTGAAATCAATGGAAAGCCTGCTAAGGTGGTGCAGGTGGGAATTTTTGAGCTCTGCTTGGAAGAATTACGACTTGGGTCACTACCTGGGGATTTATGCCATTTTAATCTACTTCCCCAGATTAAGCCAGTTCATAGACCTGGAATGCTGTGAATGTGGGGGAGGCTGGGTCTGTTTGGGAAGGACCTTGCAGTGCAGCCACAGTGGAGACAGTGAATCTTCCCCTACATACGAGAAACAGGCGGGGGCCAGGGCAGGGGGACGTTTATCTGGGAGATTTGGTCACTGGCCAAAGGGAATGTTCAGATTTAATGGGAATTATTTGAATGATGCCTCTGGAAGGATGTTAATCCCCGCCGTGACCCAGGTCAGGGCATAGGTGGCCTTTTGGTTCAAGTGCCTTTCCCAGTGGGCATAGAGGGCCCACGGACTCATCATGTTGACATTTATGTGACTCCAGAGTGTATAATGAGAATAAGTAACTGCAAAATTCCCCACAGGTGTTGCCTCACCCATGGAGGGAGGCTATTATGGTTGGAAAGTCAAATGATGCTTCTGATACCATCACCTTCCCAAACAAGATAGTAAATGAGAAGCAATATTTCTCTCCTGGAGGAATTTCTGATCTTGCAAAGCTAAGAGGCATTGGAGAGCAGGGGTTGAGATTGCAGTCACGGCTCTGTGTCCTGAACCTATTTGGTCACTGCACAAGCAGAAGGGTCTGGAAAATGACAGCAGTGTGTGACAGGCATAAGTGGCAATGGCAAATGCAGCTGCAGTTCTGGATGTGATTTCATGCAGACCTTGGACACGCAGCTTCGGCTCTAGCAATTCATTTTCTTGTATTTATTGGCAGAGACCTCAGCAGCATGTACACCTTCATTTTCTGACCTCATGACTCGGTTGGATCTCCAACAGTCTCCTATAATATGGTCTTGAGGGACATTGATCATGTGATTTCCTATTGAACATCACACTGGTCAATTTCAGTGATGAATTTCGTTAATTGGATCAGACACAGTGAAGAAAAAGTAGTAAACACCCTGATGACATGGGAATAATACGCTGGAGCCAGTCTCCCATTACACTGGTGTAAGTTCTAGGGGCCTTTGGTCTCGGCATGGCCCAGTAATCTTTCAAAATTGAGAGACATTTTGCTATACTTTTGTGGTTGCCTTTGAAAAGGAGCTATATCCCTTAGAATTTGGTGGTGGGGTATGTAGCACATTTTGACTTGCTATCCTATTCACTGGTGAGAGAACCCCTATAACTGCCAGCTTTGTGTGGCCCAAGGGCAGGAAAGGGCTCTAACAAAGGCCTAGTCTGGAATCCAGCTGCGCTGAACCTTGGGTTTTATGACCCAACACATCCAACGTCACCATAAGTTCTGTGACCTAAAGAGATAATAGGATAATCACAGTGCAGAACCTCAGGGTTTGGGAGCAGAGGTGTCTCCTCTACAGATAAATGGTCTCCATTTTGAAAGCAGCTCCAGGCTTATTACTGGGTCCCAGTGGTCTGACAGCCTGACCACGGGGCACCAAGAGTATTGTGGCCTGAACTGCACACCATATACTGGGTGCTGTCTGAGACGGTCACAGGTGTGCACCTTGGTATCCATCATCCATGGAAACCTTGTGTCTGCCAATGGCTCAAGCAGGGAGTGAGGGTGCTCGTGAATGCCCCAGCAGGTGACTAACACCCAAGGCACCTGCTCCTCCCACCTCACTTTCTCCCACACAAGCAAGCTCACAGGGAAAGTGCATCCAAGGTTTCTGGCTGGATCTGAGAGTGGGCAGACTCCAGGAAATTGTGGGTGCCTGCTATGTTAGCACCCCACAGAGACAGGCACTGAAAGAGTAAAGTAGGAAAATTCTTCAAGTCACAAAGCCTCAGGGGACCACCTTGCTGGAGGCAGGATGTCCATGGGTCCAACTCTGCATGTGTCCATGGTAAGCACCTGGTCAGGGACTTGGAAAGAATAAACTTGACACAGGGAGGCTCTGTGGACTTCTTGAATAGTGATGGCTGGAACTGAGCAGTGGAGCAGGGAGGGCCAATCGGGTGGTTGGAGGTGTGGGGGCCCCTGCCCGCTATTGGGCAGGGCACTTTGACACTCTCATGGCACTTTGACACTCTCATTAAAAATCTTCTAACACACCCTTGATTACTTTGCCTTTATACACACCAGTGGTGCACACCCTAAAAGGGCAATGTGGGGGTTTTCCCCTCTCGGTGTGGACCCCTGGGATGCCCCTTGGCTTTGCCTGGCATCACTCTGGGGATTGGCACAGAATGTGAAGATTGTCACATGCCCACCAGAATGCCTGCATGAGAGGAGCCTCCTGGCATGTGGTGCACAGTGTGAGGCCTTCCCCTTCAGTGTATGCTCTGTGGGTAGGAGGGGAGGCTCTGTGTGGGCACAACAAATGGGCTCTCTCTCCCCAAGGCTCACCTGGCCATGGACTGAATCAGTACCCAGCCAGCATAGGCAGGGACCGGCACTAAGCCCCTGTTCCAGCAGCTGCTCTAGGGCAGGACTGCGCCGGACACACCCGTGGCAGACTGGGCAGAGCTGTGTCATTGCAGAGGTCAACTGTGTGCCGTGGGTTGTGAGTGAACTTCCTAGTACTAGATGCTTCTGTCAATGCTGCTGTTCGGGAAAATAGAAAAATGTCTTTTCTATTGCTGTGGCATCCGTGATGTATTACTTCACACTCACACTCAGGGAGCTCACGGGTTGCCTCTGGTGCCCACTATAAACATGGTTGCTTAATTGGAATGATGAGGTGGCCCATGACTGACCATGAGGGCACCAGGCGAGACACTGACCTGCCATCTGGTAGGAAATGATGCACATCTTAAGCCAATGACCAATCTATCCTGCCTCCTCCCCCGATCCAGAATGCAGGGGCCCATGAAATGGGGTGAACAAGGGAGACCCCCCTCCCACTAGTACACCCAACCCACTGAAAGAATTTTTGCTTCTGGTCCCTGTGAGTTTGGCGTAGGTGAAGAATCCCATCTCGGCACCAATCAGTTGGAAGCCGTGATGCCCCCCCAGCTATTTTGTGTTCTTTGTGCTGCTGGAGCAACAGGAAGAGAGGGTGACCCTGCTGATAGCCAGAGGGAGGTTGGGTTGCTGGTTCAAGGAAGACTCTGCTTGCAAGCCAGACAGCACTTTGGGGTAATCTTTCCTTGGTTAATGTCTCTGGAGTAGAAAATGGCCAATAGTCGTAAAGACAAGACCATCAAACACTTCCCATAAGAGTGGAAATTTGGGTGCTACAACAATGGTCCAGGGGGGTGTTCGCAGATGGAGGGGTTGGATGGAATTTCCAACCTGAGATCAGAGCTCCCTTCAGGCCACCCTCTCTAAATCTCCTCTCTCCCGATTCCTCTCATGCTTTCAGGTCTTAGGATTAGCCCAGAGACCCAATGGCATCATCTTTGGGAAACTGCAAATCCTTCGTTTCTCTACTTTACACATACCCTTATGTCCACTTACTCCAGTGGGGTGAAACTCCTGCTTGTTTGGGGGCCTTTTCTGCTAAGATAGATGCCTCTGGAGATATGGACTGGCTCGGCAAAGGACAGACCTGAGTTGGTGACTCTCTTATCAACCTCCTTCTTCTCCCCATGCTGGACCTCTGAGTGCCTTGCCCTCCCCTCAAACAGGAAAACTCCAGCAGTGGGAGAAAAATGATGCTTTTATTATTAGACACATTGTCACTGCTTGAATGGCCAGTGTCCCTTAGGGTGAGTTCGGCTGCTACCAGCCCTTCCAAATATTGTCATCAGGTGATAGTGTGTGGGTGGGTATAGGGATCATAATTCAAAGAAAGAACAGGCATTTTGATTATGGGGTCAGAGGGAGGATTAGGCTTTGGGCGTGAGGAGGGGTTGAGAATCATGGTGAGTTGTGGTCAGCAGTGAGGGCAAATTCCCCCACACCAAAGGGCAAGGAGTAGCCACAACCCCATCACCCAAGTCAGGTAGCGGTCAGGGGCAACTTTACTTTGAGATGAAGGCTGTTCCTCAGGCTCATTCTCAAGGGTCTCTTCCACAGAGAAGATCCCAATATTCTTGATGTGGTGCAACAAGGACCTGGCATTTTGGGTCATGCAACCCTTTATGTGAATTGAGAGGGACAAACCACCTAGAGAGTGAAGATCCAGTCAGGAGGACTCCAGTGCAGCACACTGCAATTCCCCAGACCCAGAGTCTAGGCTCCAGCCCCTCCACCCTCAGACCCAGGAGTCCATCCTCCAGCCCCTCCGCCCTCAGACCCAGGAGATCAGCCTCTACTCCCTTCCTCCCTCAGACTTCAGAGATCTAGGCCTCCAGTCCCTTCACCCTTGAGACCTGGCCTTCAGTACTCACCATTTCCGAGAGAAATAAAACCACTGTAACAACTAGTGGTGCCTTTAGGACACGTAACATTCTGACTATTTTCTGAGCAGGATCCAAACAATTCTAAACAGACAGGACACAGCAGGTCTCCGGGAACAGGGACAGCTGGGGAGCAGAGAGAAGGTTGGGGGTGCCCAGCCCTGTTCCTAGCTGCAGCCATCCACCTTGAGCCCCAGAGTCTGTGTTTCTGGGAACCCCATGTCTTCATGCCCAGGCCACAGGGACCCCATACCTGAAGGGGAGAGGGAGTTCAACAGGACGCTGCTGCTGTTGGCTCGGTTGCACTCCTGGGAGGTGCAGAAATGGGCGTAGGAGGCCAAGAGCACTCCATGGTGCCCTCCGTGTGAGGTGACATTCTGGGAATCATGGGTCTGGGCATCGCTACAGCCTTTACTTCCCACTAGGACTGATTTGGGTCCTGTGGGGCGAGAAAGGAAAAATGGAGCTGCTGGAGGTCAGAGCTGGGGATTCCACCACCCTCAGCAGGTGGAGGGTGAAGGCTCTGCTGAGCTGTGTTGAGCATGGGGCAAGCGGGGGAGAAGGAAGGGGCGGGGCGGGGGGGTCTTCCTCTCAGCTCTGTTTGTCTGGCTTCCTCGCACCTGCCCTCAGCACCCATTTTCAAATGGCTGCTTCCAGCTCACTTTCCCTATCTCTTCCCTTCCCCAGCTGGATCTCTCTTCTTAGCTATTATCTCCCTGCCCTGAGCTGCTTCTTTTTATTTTTTTCCCGTTTCCTGTTTTCCCAGAAAACTGCAGGAAGGCAGACACAAGGACACAGTGGGGTCTGGGGCATCCGGCAGGCAGGTGCTCAGTATGGAGTCTGTGCCGGCGACCACCCAGCAAGGTAGTCTCCCTGGTGGCCATCACCCCACCCCCAGTTTCCAAAAGGAGAAACCAAGGCACAGAAAGAGGAAGCAGTTGTGTTGAGAACTCTAGGTGTGAGGGGGAAGAGGGCAGGAAATTCAGGGGACAGAGTGCACTGTGGGGAGCAGGCAGCGTCTTGCCATCTTGCGCAGCCCACTCACCTACATCGACAAGCAGCAGTGTCTCCTGACACACCTCCCCCATGTTGCACCTCTGTGTCCCTGGCGTGGTCCATTTTATAGGCTCCCAAGATAGGTTTCTGTGCAAGTAGTTCATGACCCCCCTTTGACAGGTCAGGAAAGCTGGGGAGAAGGAATGACAAGGGTCCGTGTAAACCATGAAGCCAGCTGGCTGTCCTTCCAGGTCCACACTGGGGGAGGTGATCACATTATTAAGTCACCCCCGTGACCTGACCACAGAGTCCCCCATCTTGACTTAGAAGGGTCCTTGGATCCTGAGTCTCACCCCTATTCTTTTTTTTTAAAGACTGAAAGCTTTTCTTTTCTTTTCTTTTCAAGATTTATTTATTTATTTGTTTGTTTATTTATACAAGAACGGGGTATAGGCCAGATCTGCGGGAGGGTGAGAGGATTCACTGAGACAGAGTGGGGAACAGAACAGGCAGACTGACCAAAATACACCACTGAGGGGAGCAGAGGGTGCGACAGGAGAGGTCTACTGCACCATGTGGGACCCTTGCCAGCTGGCCAGGGATCGAACCTGCGCTGTAGAGGCTGCGGACAGCTTCACAGCCCAGCGCTCAACCACCTGTGCCACCAGGGGAGGCCCATCCCACCCCCATTCTTTACCCTCTTTTTGCTCCAAAACCTTTGGGGACCTTTTCCCATACCCTTCGGGGGGCCAAGACTGCTCCTCCCTTTGGGCACAGGGGAGATGATTAACCTGAGACTGTCTCTATTTCCTAACCTGGCCCTCAAGGTCTTCCATCAGGATGGTGAGGAGGTAGACGGATGCACATATTCTTTTAACACAGAAGCCCCAGAACCCCAGTCAAATAGGCCAGTGTCCAGTGCTTAGGGGGCGTGTCCAGGTTGTGGTGCTACTTTCCCAGATTAGCCCATTTAAGCCCCCTGAGGCGTGCACCTCCTCTAGATAATCTCATTTCCTCAAGCAATCCCCAAAGTAGATGGTGTCATCACCACCACCCCCATTTTTCAACTTGAATAACAGAGGCTGAGGAGTTGTCAAATCGCTTGTCCAAAGTCTCACCACTAGTTGTTGGTGAGCTAGACTCGCTATGCAGGCACTCCCCCTACTTGGGGAGTAACAGGGGTGGGAGACCATCCCCAGCCCCCAGGTCCCAGTGGCCCTCAAGAGCCCGCACTAGAAACCATGAGCCTGGACCTTCTCCTAAGGCCACTGCCTAATCAGCTGTGACAGGTGCCGTGATGCAGAAGCAGCCACAGACAAGGGTGACCTTCCAATAGCTCCACAAAAGCGGGTGCTCATTCCCCCACTGCTTAGACAGCAGAATCGAGGTGCCTGCTGCTCTCCTCCCCTCCTGTCCCCCATTCTCCCCTCCCTCACCTTCCTTCTCTTGGTCAATGACAGCTCCTTTTGTGCAGTTGCACAAGTCAAAATCATTGCTGCCATTCTCGACAGTTCTCCACCCCTTCCACCCCATGTTGCACCCATCAGGAAATCCTGTTGGCTTAAGCTGCAAAAAGCCTTACAGAACCTGACCACTTCTCCACACCTCCATGGCTTCTACCAGGGTCCAGACTCCTCTGTCTATTGACTCTTGCCCGCTTCCTCCTGAGCCTCCGGGACTCCCCTCATCCACTCCCATCTCCCCCTTACTCTATTCTCACCCAGCAGCCAGAGGATCCCTGTAAAAGAGAAGTTGATCCTTGTCACACCTCTGCTCAGAAGATTCCAATAGGTCCCCATTCAACTGAGAGTGGAATTCTAAGTTCTTTAAAACAGCCCAAAGGCCCTACACGACCTGGACACCCCTCTCCCCCACCTTTCTGTCCACACATCTTGCTCTGCTTTCCCCTTATCACATGCCTGGGGTCACATTGGCCTCCATGCTCTTGCTTGAACACACAGCTGGCACATATAACCCCAGGGCCTTTGTATCTGCTCCCTTGCTCCCAGCTAGCTCAAATCATCTCCTCCTTCCTGAATTTGACAAAAGACACTCAAAGAGGGGTGATCCTCAAGAGCTGGGTCAGTGGCAGAGCCCAGACGGGAATCTGCATCTCTCCTGCTCAGACACTGTGCTCTTGACAGCTGTGTGTTCCCTGATTCTGTGGACCCACCACTCCATGGGGACCACCGCCCCGCTTCTTAGTGGCAGTCCAGGTGGTACATGCTCCAGCCCTTTAGTTCTTCTTCACCATGGGCTGCTGCTGTGGCCTGTTTGAGGTACTCTGTGTCTTTGTACCCTGTCCCCTCCCACCCCCATGGCTGCCAGTTCTGTCCCTTTGACTGCCCTCCTCTCCTTTCCCAATTCTGTGACATCTTGCTGTACCCCGGCTTCTGATTCCTGGCCTTGCGGATGCCCAGTACGCACTTGCTAAGCTGCCAGACTAATGTGAACCAGGGGGCTGATGAGAATGGTAGCCTCCAAGATCTGGCTCTGGATCCAGTGTGGCATGCTAAGAGACTAGCACTAGGCGTTAGGAGTAGTCGCTGTGTGGCATGTGTGTGGTGTGTGTATAACATGTGAGGGGCTGTATGGAGTTGTATGAAGCTTGTGATGCGTGTGGTGTGAATGAGGTATAAGGAGGTGTGTGTGGTGTGATGTGTTGTGTATGTGTGGCACAGCATGTATTGTGTTGTGTCAGTTGTGTGTCATTGTTTCTAGTGTGTTGTGTGTGTCTACTGGGTGTATTTTGTGTTTGTGTCTGGTGTATGATTGTGCCTATTGTGTGTTGTGTGTAGCGCATATTTCATGGGTGTGTTGTATGTATTATATATTTTGTATTTGTGGTGTGTATTGTGTGTCTGTTGTGTCTGTTGTGTGTTGTGTGTCTGTTCTGCGTCTGTTGTATGTATTGTGTGTCTGTATGGTGTGTGGTACGTGTTGTGTCTGACTTGTTTCTGAAATGCCTTCTGGGTTATGAGCATTAACCCAGCCCCAGACATACGGGTCAGACCATTAAAACCAGCATTAATCAAGAGGAAAGACTCAGTCAGACCCTGTTCCTCCCTGCTCTGCAGCCTTCCACAGCCCTCCTACTCTGAGGAGAAGGGCCAACCCCTCGGTCTTACTTTATGGGCTCCTGACCTGCCACCAAGCCCTCACTACCTCCCCACTTCCCCGCCAGTGTCCAGGACATGCTTGGCCGCTTCTTGCCTCCTGGGCTTTGCACTGGCTGTCCTGTCTGCTCAGAACAGCTCTGCCTTCACCCACACCCACCTGGTCTTCCTAGTAAACAAGCAGTCACCCCCCAGCCCCAACTGTACCCCATCCTCTTGATCTTAAAAGCCTTCTTGAAGCAGAAGGCTTACTCCCTCCTCCGGGCTTTTGCACATGCTGTTTCCTCTGCCTGGAAATGTCCTTTCTCTTTTCTACCAATAAACTGCAGCTCTTCTTACCACATGGCTCACAGATCATTCCCTCTTTGAAGCCCAGGGCCTTGGTCTCTTACTCCTCTGAGCTCCCCTCCACTGAATCCTGTGACCCTCTGTGTCCTGGAGGTCCTTTAGGGCAAAGATGTGGTCTGAGTCCTCTGCGGTCTCCACGGGAGGCCTTGGACACACTCACTTCAGCAAGCACACGCTGGATGCTGTCTGAGCCAGCTTGTGTGCCTGAGGCTGGAACCGCAGCGCCATGACACCCGGGCCTTGAACACCAGGCTCCGGGTCATCCAGAGAGATCCAAGCACATGAGGAATGTTGGTAGAATCCACTCAGCCCTTTCCTTGAAGTTTTAAGGGTTAGGGTGTCGTGGGCAGAGGAGGAACTAGGCCCTGACAGGGCAGGCCTTCTACCCTCCTGAGTCCTCTTTCCCGCCTGTCTCTGCTGAGTTTTACATGGGAAAATGGGGACTCTCCCAGTGTCCCCCTTTGGCTCTTGCTTTCCCTGCCATACTTGAAGCACCCTCTGTTTTCCCTCTGATCTTTTCTACGCAGCAGGGTGCTGAGGTGCCATGGATGGGGATGGATGAGGCGGGGTGGTGAGGGCAAGTGGGAGGGGAAGCCCGGAGTTACCCAAGGTGTGAAGAAATGCCTTGGAAACACTGAGTCACTGTGGCATCAAAATAAGCAGAAGTTCCCACTCACTTACCCCTGACCCCTCTCTGCCCTCCCTCATCGACAGGTGGCCCTAACTTAGCCAGGCTGACCCAGGATCATTTAAAACATCCACCAGCGACTCTGGTCGCATATTTCTGTCCCCTGGGCCATGTGTGCCCTCTCTTCCCCCATCAGCTGGACCCCAAACTGATGGAAGAGTCCCTCACTTTGCCTACACCTGAGTTATAAGCTTCTAAATTACTTTGGGCCCTGGCTTTGGGGTGATGCATTTGGATGTCCGACTTTCTCAGGGATCATGGGGCCCCAAAGCTGAGGTGGGGGACTCACCTTCCACTCCTGGCAGGATACCCTCACGTTTGGGGTAACAGTTCTCCTTCAAAGTTATGGGCCCTATTTGCTGAGTCCCATTAAGCAGGTTGCAGCCTGCTTGAGGCATGCATCCCTGGACTCTCAGCTTGGTAGAGATGCCTCCTGTGGAGAGGGCAGGGAGAGAGAGAGACTCAGAGAGAAATGCCACCCTGGGCCCATCCTCAGGGGGAGGTGCAGCTATTCCCCCTTCTCTAGGTCCCAGACCTCCCCCGCCCGGACTCAGGTCTTGGCTCTCAAACAGCTTCCCACCCTGCGTCATTCAGTGCCCTAAAGGGGCGCCAGGTTCCAGCTCACCTCCCTGCATCAGGAGGACCCCGTTGTAGCAGTGGCTGTTCCCGACAGGGCAGGGCTGCACCACTGGAGACAGACAGTCTTTAGCAGAGAGGCAGAAGGGACACTGCACAGGCCCGGGGGCTGGGGAGGTGAGCGAGAGGGAGGACGAGAGAGTTATAGGTTCCACTGGCTGCCGTCGCCCCAATCCCCTCTCTCTGGTCCCAGCCTCCCCAGTCCTTTTCACCCCAACATGCTCACTGTCCTCTCATCAGGCCAGGGGTGCAGGGAGGTGAGATCTTGGAGGAGCACCTGAGAGAGAGTACAGGACAGGGTGCCAGGTGGAGGTGGGGTTCCCAGGGAGGAATCAATGGCTTTGCTCAAGGTTCCACTAAATAGTTTGAGGAGACAAGACGTGGGCGCTCACAAGTGACTCCAAAGAGCAGAGACTGGCAAAACCTTCCCCGCTCTCCCCAACACGGTGTACGATCTCTGGCCGAGAGAGTGGAAAGTCACGGGCGAATCTACTTCAGAAAAGGAACAAATAAAACCCTGGGGAGCCCAATCCAGTGACAGAAAACAGGAGCATGTCGCAGGTTAGGATCATGGCCTGATTCTGAGGGGGTGGCTAGAGATCAGAGAGCAGCCCCGGTGGCCGCAGGCCCGGAGGGTCACAGGAAGCTGTGCTAATGTGTGGGATGAGGAGGGAGGGATTCTGAAAGAACTGATTCTCCATCCCCTCGGCCCTGTTGCTCTCCTGCCTCCCTGCGGCCCCTTCCCTCCTCCTCGAGTCCTCCCTGGAGCACCTGTGGGAGAAGGCATGGCCCAGCGCGGGAAGGTGCTGGACAGGTTATTGCATCGATCCTCGTCACACACCCTGGTGTAGGAGAAGACAGATAGGCCCGGGTCGGCCCTGTGCTGGGTGATGCGCGCCTCCTGCACGGGGTCCAAGGTGCAGCCCTTGGTGAGCACCAGGCTCACTTGGAGTCCTGGACGGAGAGAGGGAGGTGGGAGTGGGGGCATGGTCAGGACCCCAGCAGGCCAGAGGAGGTCTGCATGCTGACCTGGGGTCAGGGGATGGAGAGCGGCCCTGAGGGGCAGCTCCTGGTGTGGGGGGTGACCAGGAAGGCGGCAGCACAGGGCTGAGGATGATGACAGCTGCGCGGGGAGAGGGGGTAGGGGTGCGCCGAGTGCCATGGGGCCCTCTCACCGTTATCAACGAGCAGCAACGTGTCCTGGCACCTCCAGTCTTGGCTGTTGTTACCGCACACCACCCGTGCAGCTTGCCATTCCAGGAAGAGCTCCTTTGAGTTACTCACTGTCTCCAGGAAATGCCTCTGGCAGACCCGGGCTGGCTCTCCTGCGAGGGGAAGAGCAAACCCAACTCAGCCCACCCTGCACAGGAATTCCCACCCAGGCTGGGGCCTTACTCACCAGGCAACGTGAGGGTGCCCAGTAGGGCCAGCAGCAGGGAAGGGTGCATGGTCCAGGCCCTCAGTGCCTTTCTCCCAGGCAGCAAAGTGCTTTTACATCCTGCCTCACCCCAGGAAAGGGTGGGGAGGGGAGGGCCTTCCTAAAAGCAGCCTGGGCCCTGCCTCTGAATCTCAATCACCCAAGAAATCTGGGTTCTCCCTCCTCCGTCAGCCACAGGACTCCATCCAGCCCACTCCCACCTCAGACCAGAAGTCTGGACTCCAAGGCCCCACCGGTTCATATCCCCAGCCTTCCTTCTTCCTGAGTCCAGCTCTGTGGGTCCCCACCCCACTTCAGGGTAGCTAGGGAAAGCAATTTCCTCATCTCTCATGGCCAGCTGGCCACCTTATGGCTCCAGGTGGGGAAATGGACCAACTGTTTGTGAGGATATTGCGTGGTGGTCCTTAACCAGAGCTCACGTCCCTACCCTAACCTCTCCCCGCATGGATACCTAGTTCTCTTTCCTTTCTGTATTGCTTTCCTTCTCTTTCCCTGTGCACAACCTTCCCTCCCACATGCTTTTGGGGAAAAAAATGAAGCATAGGTATATATATATATATATATATATATATATATATATATATGAGAGAGAGAGAGAGAGAGAGAATAGAATATATATTATTATATTATAGTTTATATCATAGATACAGTATAATTATATATAATATAGCTATATAATATATAATATAGTTATCATAGTTTATATCATCTATGATATAAACTTTTTCTTGGTCAAGTCTCCCTGTGACAAGTGGACTAGAGGAAGAACTTGCTACCTGGTTAGTTGTCACCGATGTAATTGGGCCACCAGGGAAACTCATATTGTGAACATCTCCCTGAAACCCTTGGAAAAGCTTCCAAGAAAAAGGTGACACAAACTCTGAATGGAGAAACCAAGATAGCGCAAGTTCAAGTGCAGTCATCCATGAATGAACCACCCTTCCAAAGGCTGTACTTCCACGCCCGTTACAAGAATGGCTGCTTCAGGGAAACACAGTGGGGGATTTATTGTCTTAATCCATGACAGTTAATTGGCTGAAAGACAGGTTGCTACCATTTACACAGGTAGTAGATATGCTTTTGGAGTTGCTCAGGATTTTGGCATGTTTCAGAAACTAAGGGAATTTTTTTTTTTTAAAGATTTATTTATTTATTTATACAAGCACTGGGTACAGTCGAAGCGCGGGAGGGTGAGAGAATTCACCAGAGCTAGAGCAGGGAACAGAACAGGTAGACTGACGAAATACACTGCTGAGGGGAGCAGCGGGCCCAGCAGGAGAGGTCTGTCGTGCCATGTGGGACCCTCACTGGTGGCCAGGAATCGAACCGGCGCTGCAGAGGCTGCAGGCAGCTTCGCAGCCCAGCTCTCAACCGCTGCACCAGCAGGGGAGGCCCAAAACTAAGGGAATTTTTATTTTCCTCTAGGCAAGCAATAAAAAATAGTTAGGTCTTCTAGATGCTCTTCAATAACCTAAGTCTGAGGCAATAATAAAGATTATTGGACACTCAAAAGAGAATAGAGTAAGGGCAACCATTTTACACACATTGCTGCCAATTACTAAATCTCTAAAGACTTTACTGAAGAATTCCCTAACACTTTACAATCCTATGGGCTCTGCCAAAGAGTTTATTTAACTTGATCATCTAAACTGTACTTGCATATAATGAGTAAAGTATTCCTTGAAAGGTTTAGTGCTTCTTGGGAAATCCCTTCAGAACATCATAATGACTGAAACATTCATTGTCTAAGCCAAATCACATAATCTGTTTGCAAAATCTGACTGATTGGTTGAAAAAGGATTGGTTGAAAAAGCAAAAGGAATTTAAAAACTCAATTGGCAAAACTGAATCCTTTAATCTCCCCTGACCAGAGGCTCTGCCTTGGTTTTACTTAACCTAAGATTTACGCCTTCTGCCAAACAGACTATCACTTTTAAAAATAATTAGATAGGCCCAGGTGATTAAATCAAGGCCTATATGAACCAACCCTACTGAAAGGGGATGTTTTAAGTTACTGCAAGGAACTCATCTGAGTCCACAAGAAAAATTCCAATCTGGTAGCACAGTCAACCTGGCAATCCACTGTTTGGCTTCTAACCACAGAATATAAAACCATCGACAAAAGGCCCCATATGTTCTACCGTATTCACAGAAGCATTTACAATAGCCAGAAGCACCCAGAAGCAGCCTACATCTCCTTCAAAGTATGAATGGCTCAAGATGTAATACATACACACCATGGAGTATTATGTAGCCATGAAAAGGATGAAAGGCAACCATTTTCAACAACAGGGGGACAAATTTGAGAGAAGAATGTGCAACAAAGAAATTCAGGACATATAAAAAAACATTGGGCCTTCGCATAGCAGACAATTCAACAAAGTGAAAAACGTCCAAAAACTAGCGGCCTTTAATAAATATCCTGAGGGCTCTGAGGTTAAGAGGGAGGGGCGAATGAAAGAGACAAGGAGACACAAGAGTGGTGGTGGGGAAAATATAAATAAACAAGAAGTAGTAGATGATGTCAGTTTGGAGAAGTGTTGGGTTCAGAGAACGGGGTCCTTGGGATTCCTCTGAGAAAAGTTTTATCAGAGCTCGCCTTTCAGCGGCACATGGTAAATTTCCCCAGGAAAGTTTCTCTAAGAGGTAGAAATGTTTAGTTATATTTAAAAGGGCAGGCTTGGGCCTCCCTGGTGGCGCAAGGAGTTAAGCACCACAGTATGAAGCATTCCGCAGCCTCTGCAGCATGAGTTCAATCCCCAGCCGGCCAGGAAACAGTCCACATCTCCTGTCTCGCCCACTGCTCCCCTCAGCAGTGTTTTCAGTCAGTCTGCCTGTTCTGCTCCCCACTCTCTCTGGTGAATCCTCTCACCCCCCATATCTCTGGCCTGTACCCCACCTCTTGTATGAACAAATAAACAAATCTTTAAAAAAAATAAAAGGGCAGACTTACTATAAAAAGGGAGGGAAGTGGAGGAGGCTTGCACAGACACAAGCGGGCAGAAAGAGCTGCCCCTGAAAGGGACAGGTTTGTTAAGAGAGACACCATAGTCACAGGTAGGCAGCCTTGGGAGGAGAGCAGCCTCTGCTGCTTGGCAAAGGGTGCGAAGAAACACCTGCTGGTCACAGGTGGGAAGGAGAGCTGCGTCTTGTCAGTGCAGACATTGTACTGATACTGGATTCTTTTCTTTTTTTTCTTTTAAATTCTTTTTTTTTTAATAGAGGCATATTTTATTTATTTATTTATTTGTTTGTTTGTTTATACAAGCACTGGGTACAGTCAGAAGCGTGGGAGGGTGAGAGAATTCACCAGAGCCAGAGCGGGGAGCAGAGCAGGCAGAAGGACCGAAGTACACTGCTGAGGGGAGCAGCGGGCGGCAGGAGAGGTCTGCGCGCCATGTGGGACCCTCCTCCGGTGGCCGGGGAGCAGCCGGGGATCGAACCGGTGCTGCAGAGGCTGTGGGCAGCTTCGCAACCCAGCGCTCAACCGCTGCGCCACCGGGGAGGCCCGATGCTGGATTCTTTTCTTTGGAGGGGTTCATTCCTTTGTGGACTGTTGTTAAATTAATTATTACCAGGGTTGGCACTTAACAATTTTTTCTATATTTGGTTTGACTAAGTAGATTTGAAAGTAGATTTTTTTTTTTACAATGACCCCTTACCTTCCCAATCTCCGTAGCCCCACTTCCAGTTCTGGACTTCTGGATACTTTGTTTTTATTTATTTATCTTTTAAAGATGTATTTATTATACATACAAGAACTGGGGTACAGGCCAGAGGTGCAGGGGGTGAGAGGACTCACCAGAGACAGAGTGGGGAGCAGAATAGGCATATCTACTGAAATACACTGCTGAGGGGAGCAGCGGGCATGACAGGAGAGATCTGCTGCACCATGTGTTGCAATGGCTGCCAATAGCTTGATAGCGCTGTGTCTTTTTTTTTTTTAAAGATTTATTTATTTATACATACATGAACTGGGGTACAGGCCAGAGGTGTGGAAAGTGAGAAGATTCACCAGAGACAGAGTGGGGAACAGAACAGGCAGACTGACTGAAATACACTGAGGGGAGCAGTGGGGGAATCAGGAGACCCCATGTGGGGTCTGCTGGCCAGGGATCGAACTTGAGCTGCAGTGGCTGCAGATAGCTTCATAGGTTGCGTCTTAACTCCTTGCGCCACCAGGGAGGTCCAGGGCTGTGTCTTTAACCCCTGTGCCACCAGAGAGGCCCACCTCTGGATACTTTAACAACTATCTTAATCATTTCTACCCCCACCTCCAGTTTCTGGTCTTATGATGCCTCTTTCCTAAATTATCTACTCTTAACCTCCAATTTCTACCTCCACATCTAGTTTCTGATCTTAGCACACCTTCATACTAAATTTTCTACCAACAAATAAACAAACCAACCAAACACATCTGCATTTATTGACACATGATCTTACTTTTCCAGAGTCAGCATGAGATTGGTCAAGTGTGATTTCCTCTTACAAGAAGTAAGGTTTTTACCCAGTGGTATTGTAAAATCATGTTACGAGATTTGAAGATTCTATTGCAAGTGACTGATTCTTCCCCCCAAAAAATTAACTGTGGGCTATTCCAGAAGCAAAAAGCATTGTAATTTAGATTTTGCTAATTTACTTGCACAGACTTGAGCCAGCTTAAGCTCATATAATTTCTACATTATTCATGTTGGGTCTAAAAGCAATTTTAGTCAACAAAGAACCAAATTTAAAGTCACTTGAATTCTGCAAGTATGAGTTACAAAGGCGGGGGCCATGAAAGTGGTTAAGAAAAATCAATAAGGGGAAGAAGGAAGGGAGAGAGAGAGAGAGAGAGAGAGAGATGAAAAACAGGGGCAAAAGAACTTCTCTACTGAATAGACAAGGAGAAAAAGGAAATAGAAAGACAAAAGGAAGGCAAGATTTGTAGTATCTGAAGGTCAACCTCTTTTCTCCAGATATTGACCTCCAATCCCAGCCTCTTACAGTGTAGGAATGAAGGACACCCCGGAACCTCCAAA